AGAGTCCAGAACCACCAGATCCAATCTAGACACAATCACGGAGGGGTTCACCACTTCCATTGGTGCCTCTCCAATGATGCGCGAGTAGTTCTTTGTAGACCTTCGGGTCCGTAGTTAGTAGCTAGATGGCTTTCTCTCTCTCTCTCTCTCTCTCTCTCTCTCTCTCTATCTCTCTCTTGATTATCAATACAATGGTCTCTTGGAGATCCATATGATGTAACTCTTTTTGCGGTGTGTTAGTTGGGATCCGATGAACTTCGAGTTTATGTGATGAATTGAGTTTTCCCTTTGAGTTTCCGTTGTTATTGGATTGAATACTTCTATGATTTGAGAACACTTGATATATGTCTTGCAATTGAATACCCGTGGTGACAATGGGGTACCGTATTGATTCACTTGATATATGTTTTGGCACTCAACTCGCGGATTCCGTGACATTGGGGGAATCTATGCATAGGGGTTGATGCACATTCTTGTCTTTGTTTCTCCGGTAGAAATCTTGGGGCACTCTTTATAGTTTTTTGTGTGGATTGAGTATTATATATATGAATTTGCTTTGGTGTTATTCTAGTACAAACTCTAGGATAGACCGAACGGAAAAAATAGCTTTGTGTTATTTTAGTACGAACTCTTGAATAGATTGAACGGAAAGAATAGCTTTGAGGTGGTTTCGTACCCTACAAACAATTATGTCTTATGTTCTCCGCTAGATAGGAACTTTGGAGTGATTCTTCATCGTCATAATTATTTGAAGTTCTATCAATTGCCCAACAGTAATTTGTTTACCCACCGTTTGATATCTTTCTCGAGAGAAGCCACTAGTGAAACCTACGGCCACCGGGTCTTCTTTCTCACATATTTGCTTTGCGATCTACTTTTTCCTTGCATTTATTTTCAGATCTAATAAACCAAAAATACATAAATACCTTGCTGCAATTTATCCTTATTTATTTTATTTGGCGTTTGATCTATCAATCTACTACAATTTACCTCACGTCCTTTGCCTATCTTGAGGCGCCATACCCCGAAAGGGATTGATAACCCCTTTAACACGTCGGGTTGCGAGGTGTTGTTATTTGTGTGCAGGGGCTGTTTACGTTGTGCTGCTTGGTTCTCCTTCGATAACCTTGGTTTCATATCTGAGGGAAATACCTACCGCCGTTGTGCTGCATCATCCCTTCCTCTTTGGAAAAAAATCGACGTAGCTTCAAGCGACATCAGGCTTCTTCTCTCTCTTTGATTCTCAATACCATGTTCTACTCGATGTTCTTGGAGATCTATCTAATGTAATCTTCTTTTGTTGTGTGTTTGTCGAGATCCGATGAATTGTGGATTTATGATCAGCTTATCTATGAATATTATTTGAATCTCCTCTGAATTCTTATATGCATGATTTGGTATCTTTATATTTCTCTTCGAATTATTGATTTGGTTTGGCCAACTAGATTGGTTTTTCTTGCAATGGGAGAGGTGCTTAGCTTTGGGTTCAATCTTGCGGTGTCCTCACCTAGTGATAAAGTAGGGGTAGCGAGGCATGTATAGCATTGTTGCCATCGAGGATAAAAAGATAGGGTTTTCATCATATTGCTTGAGTTAATCCCTCTACATCATGTCATCTTACTTAATGCATTACTCTGTTCTTTATGAACTTAATACTCTAGATGCAGGCATGAGTCGGTCGATGTGTGGAGTAATAGTAGTAGATGCAGAATCGTTTAGGTCTACTTGACACGAACATGATGCCTATATTGCATAATCATTGCCTTGGATATCGTCATAACTTTGCGCTTTTCTATCAATCGCTCAACAGTAATTTGTTCACCCACCGTATTATTTGCCTTCTTGAGAGAAGCCTCTAGTGAAACATATGGCCCCCGGGTCTACTTTCCATCATATTAGTTTTGATCTTCTATTTTCCGTCATATTTGTTTCTGATCTACTATTTTGCAATCTTTTACTTTCAGATCTATAAACAAAAAAACCCAAAAGTATTTTATCTTTTGTTTATCTATCTCTATCAGATTTCACTTTTGCAAGTGACCGTGAAGGGATTGACAACCCCTTTATCGCGTTGGGTGCAAGTGTTTGATTGTTTGTGTAGGTATTAGTGATTTGTGCGTTCTTCTCCTACTGGATTGATACCTTGGTTCTCAAACTGAGGGAAATACTTATCTCTACTTTGTTGCATCACTCTTTCCTCTTCAAGGGAAAAACAAAGCAAGCTCAAGAAGTAGCAGTACTCCAGTTCTTCCTAGCATCCACGATCTGGACGATTGGCAATGGCACCTCCTGCCGTTTCTGGGTCAACCCATGGCTTGACGGAAGATTTATCACCGCCACTGCTCCCTCCCTGGTGACTCTCGTGACCTGCAGAGTTAGACGCTCTCGCATAGTTGCCCAGGAACTTGCTGATCGTCGTTGGATCGCTGACATCCAGGGCGCGTTGGGGCCGGTCGCTACAGTGGAATACATGGAGCTCTGGCGTCGTCTCCAGCACGTTGTGCTCTCCCCTCGGTCCGACTTGATACGCTGGCACTGGATCGACAATTGTATCTACTTGGCTTCCTCATGCTACAACGCACTATTTCATGGCTCCATTGCCTCGGAGTTCTGGCATCTAGCCTGGCAGACTGGTGCCCCGACTACGGTGCAATTTTTCATCTGGCTCGCCTCCCTAAACCGATGTTGGTCCGCTGATCGAATGGTTCTGTAAGCTTCTTCAACTGGCTCAACTCGGCTCTTCTAGATATGCCGGCATCGGGGCGACGCGGGCTGGCCATCGTTGCCTCGCTCACGGCTTGATCCCTTTGGCGGCATCGGAACGCTGTCATCTTCGACAAAATCACACCATCATCTTCCTCTCTTATTGTGGAAATCAAAGATGAAGCTCGCTCTTGGAATGAACACATGTATCCCTCCTGTAACCTGAACTTTTAGTTTTGAGGGCTGAGCAACCCCCTTGTCTTCTGCTCATTCCGGCGCCATGGCCTCCCCATTCTTGTGTATGTGGTTGTGGTGCTACCCTGTACTCTCTTCATCCCCTATCAATGCAATGATATGCTGCTATGTCCCGGAAAACAATGATACGCTGCTATGTGTATCCGTGAAGAAAAAAATTCGTCTCAAGCAGGTTTCTGATATTTGGCATGTCACAAAGAAGTAACCAGAAGGAAATATCGTGTTGGTGTCAGAGCAGTTATGTTTGCACAAAACATTGAGTTGTCCAGCTCAAAAAAAACCTAGAGACACAATGCGCCCGCGGGTCCCACCGGATCAAAATCACGCCGGACATAGGCTGGTATGTCGATGTGGGGCCACCGCCACCTGCAACCACAGAAACTCGAGGCAACAGAAAATATCTTGGCCCCGCCTCCATGCGAGGAACTAGGAAGCATGAGGTGGCTATGGTCGGCCGCTCAAGAACCTTCACGACGCGAGATATTTTCCCGCGCCGGGCAGGGCGCCCAAGCCCAAAATTAACAAGTAGTGATCTAAAATTAACGAGTTGTAATAACTCGGTGGAGATAGCTAATTATCTCGTATATGTTTATCTCCGAAGTGAAATATTGTGTTTTTTTAGCACTCGCCATACGCCGTAGAACAATCTTTCTACGATAAATTTTCATATATCAAAGAAAAGCATATCAGATATATACAAGTCAAAAAGAAAAGAAAGGAAACAAAAGAAGCAAAAGAAAAGGAGCCGGAGCTCAGCTTTGAGCCAATTCATGTTTTAGGCAACATAATCATCAAAGATATAAACCAACTAGACTTGAAGGTGACTTCCGATCCAGCAGTGCAGAATTGGCTGTACTCCCTCCGTCGTAAAATAAGTGTCTCAACTTTGTATTAACTTTAGTGCTAAATTGTACTTAGGTTGAGACACTTATTTTGGGACGAAGGAAGTACTTTTCAAACATTTTATGGCTCATGATCTATAGGTCTTTCTTGAACAAAATTTTCTAGAAAAGCACACTTGGTCTGATGTTAGGAAAAACAAATTATTCCTTTGCATCCAAATGCTCCAGCTGCCCAATACCAAGATATCCATTGCAAGTTCAGAGGGGAGTGTGGAGAAAGTCAACACAATGTCATACTCCCTTCGTTTTTAAATATAAGTGTTTTTTAGAGATTTTAATATAAATTAATACATACAAATGTATATAGATATATTTTAGAATGCAGATTTACTCATTTTACTCCGTATGTAGGCTATATTAAAATCTCAAGACATATATTTAGAAACGGGAGAGTAGATAACTGAGATGATTGAATCCCAACAACACAGAGCAAAACCACGGTCCCAAACAAGATCAAAGGCTGTCTCTTCCCATGCATCAATACACATCACACAAATGTAGAAAGGGAGACGGAAGAATTTCGTCTGAAGCAGTATTCTGATATTTAGCCTGTCACGAAGAAGTAACCATAAGGAAATATCGTGTTGCTGTCAGAGCAGTCGTGTTTGCACGAAACATTGAGCTGCGCAGCTCAGAAGAAAGTTCCAGGGACGCACATGCACACGCGGGTCCCACCAAGATCAAAATCAGGCCGGACATAGGCCGGTATGTCGATGTGGGGCCACCGCCACCGGCAGCCACAGAAAGTGGAGGCAGCAGAAAATATCTTGGCTCCGTCCGCATGAGGTGGCGACGGTCGGCCGCTCCAGAACCTTCAGGACGCAAGATATTTTCCCGCGCTGGGCGGGGCGCCCAAGCCCAACCTGGCTTCAAACTTCGCAATGCTTCGCCTATCATCTTCTCCTTTCCTCTCCTACCACCTCCCGCGCGCGCCACGGCCGCGGCCACCAGATATTTTCCTTTTCCCGCACCCAGCCCAGCGCCTTTATATACGCCGCGCGCCCGCCCCTCCTTTCCGACGCCTCGCTGTCTCTCCCCGTCTCAGGTCACCATCGAAGCACCAGTAGCAGGAACTCCCTAACGCCCCAGCGTGAGATCGCGAGATTGTAATAGCTTGATCGAGGCAGTGAAGACGAGAGGATGCAGCCGCCATCGCAGTACCACCAGTCCTCCTACTACGCCGTGCTCGGCGTCCACCCAGGCGCGTCCGCCGCCGAGATACGGGCCGCTTACCACCGCCTCGCCATGGTGAGTAGAGTAGCAGTCTCTTTAACGGGTGCTTCGGTCGTGTCTCCTCTGAATTCTTCCGGTTTGAGCGGGAGAAGCAGAGTTTGACGTTTATCTTCTGATGATCCGTAATGGCGCAGAGGTGGCACCCGGATAAGATTGCCAATGGCCGTGTGGATCCGGCGATCGCGGAGGAAGCCAAGGGAAGGTTCCAGAAGATACACGAGGCATACCAGGGTACTTGCCGTGCCGCCCGATTCTCTTATTATTTCTATACATGTTCCATATAGGTGTGCATTGGGTGCTTTTGTTAACGTTTGAAATGTCGGTCTCGTGCAGTGTTGTCGGATCAGAAGCGGAGGGAGCTCTATGACGCCGGGATGTACGACCCCCTCGACGACAGCCAACAAGAGGTCGAGGTAATTAATTCATGAGTTTGCTTCTCCTAATGAGCTACGACTGCTCGTATCGTATTCACCATGGCCGTTAATTAACTCGGAGTTTCCGGTGTTGCATTGTCAGGGCTTCCATGATTTCCTTCAGGAGATGCTCTCGCTCATGGCCACCGTTGGTAGAGAGGTACGTATTACTAACTAGTAACTAATGTTCATCATGCATGCCACACTTTGGTTCGCTCCTTGTAGTGTGGAGATTTTAGAGTTTGAACCCCGACTCGGCTACTTTCTTTCAGTTTGGCATGTCTGAACTGTAAATCAGTTCTCTTATGTCCTTTTGACTGAAGATAAACTTGAGGGGAAATGATGTCACTATGGTAACAAAAAATACGTCAGGATTCTAGAACAATCATGACAATCGTGAAGAATCTACAACTAACCGTGATATTTTTGTAAGAAGATTGGGTTGCATGGCACCGCCAGCATATTTCTTGTTCCCACAGTTTGGTAAATCCATGTAGATCAAAACCGAATGTCCTGGGAAACTGGTTCTGCTGCATGCCTGAAACCATCACTGACAACCCCCGCTTGACTTGGTGCAGGAGCCCGTGTATTCCCTGGGGGAACTCCAATCCATGCTCGACGGGATGATGCAAGATTTCAGCTCCCCCCAACCGCCACCACCAAGCAGCTTCTTCACCAGCACCGGTTCGTCGACGCGGTTCAGCGCACCCAGCGGCGGAGCGCAGCAGCAGCGTCGACCCCCCTCCCGGGTACGGCCTCAGGGGTTCGGCAGCTCGGCATGCTTCAGCCAGACGGCTTTCTCGGGCTGCTAAGCACCCGCGCGATCTGCACCGCAGTTCATGCGTCCGTGGGTGTACGATCCTGGTTACAAGGATCACCGGCGTGAAGACACTGAATTGCAGAGACTGGGAGAGCCATTCACAGGAACCGTCGAGCGCTGTAGCGATGCACACAGCAGGAGCCGGTACTGTACATCAACCCACTGGATGAGCGGAATAAAGAAGACGGTAGATATTTCCAGTTGACAGCAACTCGAAAGGATCTCCATTGTTAGTTTTTCTTGGATAGATTGTAGGTGTACATAGATGAGAATCAGAAGTGAAGACGTGATGTTTTGCACTGTGGTGTATTTACTTCAAAAGCAACCACGATGACACGTGTTGGAGTTGTCACAAACAAAAAATCAGTAAAGAGTACGTGTAACGTGTTTTTCATCTAGAAGCTGCTTGTCCCCCCACTTGTTATCTGGTTCTGTCAAGTGTCAACCCGAATGATGCGTGAACGTAACCAACGGTGGAACTTACAACGAGGACCGAATAGGTTATTACCTTTTCCGTGAAAAAGAAATTGCACTAATAGGTGGTTCGGTTGGGTGCCTAGCTTTGCAGAAACAGAGCGTGTATCACACATAAACCCTAGAAATTAGCAGCAGTTGCACCAGCATACCAATACCTGTTTAGGATATGCACCAGTAACCAAGACTTGGTTATCCAGTTCATATATAAGGCGGTGTTGGATTCACGGCCTACTAACTATAGTTGAGATCTGCCTGTTAGCAATCGACACAAATGCTGCCCCTCCGGATGATGATAAGCCTGGTATCCATCTCTTTGCTTGTTGTGTCCCCTGCAATGGGCATACCAACGGACGACAAGTGCAAGTGCCTCATGTGCGTCTGCGACCTGGATCCGCACCCGCTGCCGCCGGCAATGCCGTCGCACCACCCAGCACCTCCTGAGCACGAATACAAATACCCGCCACCGTCGGAGCCGGAGCCAGAGCCAGAGCCACGGCCAGAGCCAAAGCCTGAGCCTGAGCCTGAGCCAAAGCCGGAGCCGGAGCCGGAGCCAACGGCACAGTACTACCCGCCTCCTCCGGTGCCTGTGCCGACGCCAGTGTACTACTACCCACCGCCGTCGGAGCCGGAACCAACGCCCGTGTACTACCTTCCACCGCCGGCTGAGCCGTACGAGTACCCGTACGTGCAGCCAGCGCCGGTGTTTGGCATAGTGGGGACGCCGGGGCAGATGTACCCGCGTGATAGCATGTTCAACCCGTCCAGCGCCCACCGGAAGCTCTGTCGTGGGATATCCTCCGTAATTCTCGCCTCCTCGATCGTGGCAGCAGGGCTACTGTCACTGCTCATATAAATGTACCTAGAATACATTCAGTCAACAGACTGAACCTGATCAGCAACCAATTGGCATGTAATGCTTCATTCCGCTGACGATGCTACTTCTGTTTTTCTTCCCCTTCATTTCAAATGTGTAACTCTGAAGGAAAAAATGCGAATGATGTTGAACTTTGAATTTGTTCGTGTGTGTAGTGCAACTGCGCATATTTGTATGGTGAAAATAAATTCCAGTGAGTTCTCGTCTCTTTCTCGAGTACGCACGAGAATGCGTACTGTATATTATAGAAGGAGATGGGGTAAAAGAGCCCTTCCACAGTGATGTTACAAATTACAGTTTACAGCTTGAGCATCACGCTCCCTCCTAATCCACTCCACTCAACGTTCATTACCACTACGATTACTCTGATCTACGCGCCCACTCTGCAAGCTTTTTAAGGAAGGTACAAGCGTCTCCCCGAAGCATACCTGCCTTCCTTCACGCCGTGCCCTCTGAGTGTATGTTGTTAATCACTGCCCGAATGGAAGGTGAAGCGCCATCAAAGACAATGGCTAGTGTTCCCTGACCCTGGCTAGAGGCCAATGTAACTGTACCGTCCCTTCCATGATTCCGGGTAGAGGCCAATGTAATTACGCGGGGCTGCTGGCACCTGGCTAGGCCTGATTTGCTAGTGTTCCCTGACCCTCTCTTGTAACTGTACCGTCCCTTTCACTATATCAATGAAAATCAGCATCCTGCTGCTTTTTCGTCAAAAAAAAAGACAATGGCATTGCGATGTTTCCAAAGCATCCATAGAACGAGTGTCGAGGCAGTTCTTGCGTCCTTGCACTCCCTCCCTCATCCTCCTATCTTCGCACACCATTGGCTTATGTTGTCCCCTGCCGCTGGCCCCCAGCTTGGTTTATTTGCGGCTGCCGAGACGTTGGCCCAGACCTCAATGGCAAACACAAGCAAGCAAAAGATGGCTGATGCTTTCCTCATGCTGATCGCAAAAAGGGCAACGCTTCGGATGATCCAGGCCACGCCGAGCTAGCCGGTCCGCCGTCCAACACCTGTTTTGGAGGGCCAGCCACGCGAAGAAGCGACAGCGAAGCGGGGCCCTCGATCTCCAGGTGAAATCAGCCGTAGGGATCACTTCTCTGCCCCCAGAATTTTGCCGCATATGCAGACCTCGTTGAGAAGCAGCCATCTTTCTCCCATGACCATGAGAATGAATCACTTGCATTGGGGTTTAGGGTGGTTTGACCAGCTTCGGCCCAAAGGCTTAGGTATTCCGGAAGCATTTCGGCAGTCATTTCCGGCCCGAAGTTGTCAGCCCATCTGCCATCCGCCAGGGCCTCGCAAACTGATAATTTTGAGCGTACCCTTGTACTAATCCGCGCACGAAGGTGTGGGGCCATTTCCTGCACCCGGCACCCGTGAAGCCACCTATCCTCCCAAAACAAGGCATCTTTGCCGTTCCCCAGAGTGCAACGGGTGGCCGCTTCCATGAGTTGCTTCGATTCTGCAGGCACCCTAATCTCGAATTCTGCCCAAGGCCTCGTCGGGTCCGTCTTTTGAAGCCATGGCCATCTGGCCTGAATTGCATAGTTGAGCCACCTTAGGTTGGGGATCCCAAGGCCGCCCGCCCACTTCGGAGCACAGACCCTGTCCCACGCCACAATGCATTTGCCGGCCGGGGCTTCCGAGCTAGCACACCATAGAAAGCTCTTGCAAATTTTGTTCATGGCGGCAATGGTCTTCCGTGGTAAGTCGATCGCTAGCATGGCATGTAGCGGGATGGCGCAAAGGACCGCCTGAACCAGGATGAGGCACCCATACTTGGGCATAGTGGCAGCTTTCCATCGCGGCAGCGCTCGTGCCAGTTGGTCCACCAAGTCAGCGAGCTGGGCCGCCGTTTGCTTGCGAAGGGTGAGAGGCAAGCCGAGGTACTTGCATGGGAAACACCCTTGTTTGCAGCCTAGGATCAGTCCCACTGCCTGTACCTCACCGGCCGAGCAGCGTATTAGGTAGGCTGCGCTCTTATTCATGTTTACCCGGAGGCCAGAAGCCTCTTCGAACAGATGGAGTAGGGTTGCGCATGCTGCAAGGTCTGTAGCATTGGGTTTGGTGAAGATCATGACGTCGTCAGCAAAAACGATAGGCGTTGCTGCAAACCCGAGCTCGCTAGAGGCTCCAGGACCCCCCTTTATACCGCGAGAGCAAACATCTTTTGCAACGGCTCCATGATCATTATGAAGAGCATGGGTGAGAGCGAGTCGCCTTGCCGTAGCCCCACGCGATTGAAGATCTGCTTTCCAGGGGTCCCATTCACTAAGATCCTTGTAGAAGAATTCGCTAGCAGGCCGCAGATCCATGAAAGCCACTGGTGACTGATACGTCTCCAACGTATCTATAATTTTTTATTGTTCCATGCTATTATATTACCTCTTTTGGATGTTTACGGGCTTTATTTTACACATTTATATCATTTTTGGGACTAACCTACTAACCGGAGGCCCAACCCATATTGTTGTTTTTTGCCTATTTCAGTATTCCGAAGAAAAGGAATATCAAATGGATTCCAAACGAAATGAAACCTTCAGGAGCGTGATTTTTGGAACGAACGTGATCCGGAGAGCTTGGAGTGCAAGTCAAGAAGCTTCTGAGGGCCCCATGAGATAGGGGGTCGCGCCCCCCTGTCTCGTGGGCCCCTCGGGCGGCCACCGACGTACTTCTTCCTCCTATATATACCTATGTACCCCGAAAACATCCAGGAGCACCACGAAACACAATTTCCACCGCCGTAACCTTCTGTATCCGCGAGATCCCATCTTGGAGCCTTCACCGGCACTCTGCCGCAGGGGGAATCAACCACGGAGGGCCTCTACATCAACATCCTTGCCCCTCCGACGAGTTGTGAGTAGTTTACCACAGACCTACGGGTCCATAGTTATTAGCTAGATGGCTTCTTCTCTTTTTTTGGATCTCAATACAATGTTCTCCCCCTCTCTTGTGGAGATCTATTCGATGTAAACTCTTTTTGCGGTGTGTTTGTCGAGATCCGATGAATTGTGGGTTTATGATCAAGTTTATCTATGAATAATATTTGAACCTTCTCTGAATTCTTTTATGTATGATTGAGTTATTATTGCAAGTCTCTTTGAATTATTAGTTTGATTTGGCCTACTAGATTGGTCTTTCTTGTCATGGGAGAAGTGCTTAGCTTTGGGTTCAATCTTGCGGTGTCCTTACCCAGTGACAAAAAGGTTTGCAAGGCACGTATTGTATTGTTGCCATCAAGGATAACAAGATGGGGTTTATATCATATTGCATGAGTTTATCCCTCTACATCATGTCATCTTGCTTAATGTGTTACTCTGTTCTTATGAACTTAATACTCTAGATGCAGGCAGGAGTCGGTCGATGTGTGGAGTAATAGTAGTAGATGCAGGCAGGAGGCGGTCTACTTGTTATGGACGTGATGCCTATATACATGATCATGCCTAGATAATCTCATAACTATGCGCTTTTCTATCAATTGCTCGACAGTAATTTGTTCACCCACCGTAATACTTATGCTATCTTAAGAGAAGCCACTAGTGAAACCTATGGCCCCCGGGTCTATCTCTTATCATATTTGCTTTCAGTATACTTTTATTTGCATCTTTACTTTTTGCATCCATATTATAAAATACCAA